ACGTGGACGTGGACGTGGTCGTGGACGTGGTCGTGGACGTGGTCGTGGACATGGACGTGGACGTGGACGTGGACATGGACGTGGACGTGGATGGACGTGGACGTCGACTTGGACGTGGACGTGGACGTGGACGTGGACGTGGACTTGGACGTGGACGTGGACTTGGACGTGGACACGGACGTGGACGTGGACGTGGACACGGACGTAGACGTGGACGTTGACGTGGTGGACGTGGACGTGGACGTGGATGTAGACGTGGACGTGGACGTTGACGTGGACGTGGACATGGTGACGGACGTGGTCGTGGACGTGGACGTGGACATGGTCGTGGACGTGGTCGTGGGACGTTGACGTGGACATGGACGTGGACGTGGACGTGGACGTGGACGTGGACATGGTCGTGGACGTGGACGTGGACGTGGACGTGGACGTGGACATGGGTGGACGTGGACGTGGACGTGGTCGTGGACGTGGACGTGGACGTGGACGTGGACATGCACATGGACGTGGACGTGGACGTGGACGTGGACGTGGACGTGGACGTGGACGTGGACATGGACGTGGACGTGGACGTGGACGTGGACGTGGACATGGACGTTGACGTGGACGTGGACGTGGACGTGGACATGGACATGGACGTGGACGTGGACGTGGACGTGGACGTGGACATGGTCGTGGACGTGGACGTGGACATGGACATGGACGTGGACGTGGACGTGGACGTGGACGTGGACGTGGACGTGGACCTGGACGTGGTCGTGGACGTGGACGTGGACGTGGACGTGGACGTGGACGTGGACGTGGTCGTGGACGTGGACGTGGTCGTGGACGTGGACTTGGACGTGGTCGTGGACGTGGACGTGGACGTGGACGTGGACGTGGACATGGACGTGGACGTGGACGTGGACGTGGACATGGACGTGGACGTGGACGTGGACGTGGACGTGGACGTGGACGTGGACGTGGACGTGGACGTGGACGTGGACGTGGACGTGGACGTGGACGTGGACGTGGACGTGGAGGTGGACGTGGACGTGGACGTGGACGTGGACGTGGACGTGGTCGTGGTCGTGGACGTGGACGTGGACGTGGTCGTGGACGTGGTCGTGGACGTGGTCGTGGACGTGGTCGTGGACGTGGACGTGGACATGGACGTGGACGTGGACGTGGACATGGACGTGGACGTGGACGTGGACGTGGACGTGGACATGGACGTGGACGTGGACGTGGACGTGGACAGGGACGTGGACGTGGACGTGGACGTGGACGTGGACATGGACGTGGACGTGGACGTGGACAGGGACGTGGACAGGGACGTGGACGTGGACGTGGACATGGACGTGGACATGGACGTGGACGTGGACGTGACAGGGACGTGGACGTGGACGTGGACGTGGACGTGGACGTGGACATGGACGTGGACGTGGACGTGGACATGGACGTGGACATGGACGTGGACGTGGACGTGGACATGGTCGTGGACGTGGACGTGGACGTGGACGTGGACGTGGACGTGGACGTGGACGTGGACGTGGACATGTACGTGGACATGGACGTGGACGTGGACGTGGACATGGACGTGGACGTGGACGTGGACGTGGACGTGGACGTGGACATGGACATGGACATGGACGTGGACGTGGACGTGGACGTAAACATGGACGTGGACGTGGACATGGACGTGGACGTGGACGTGACTTGGACGTGGACGTGGACGTGGACATGGACGTGGACGTGGACGTGGACATGGACGTGGACGTGGACGTGGACATGGACGTGGACGTGGACGTGGACGTGGACGTGGTCGTGGACGTGAACGTAGACGTGGTCGTGGACGTGGACGTGGACGTGGTCGTGGACGTGGACGTGGACGTGGTCGTGGACGTGGACGTGGACGTGGACGTGGACGTGGACGTGGACATGGACGTGGACGTGGACATGGACGTGGACGTGGACGTGGACGTGGACGCGAACATGGACGTGGACGTGGACGTGGACGTGGACGTGGTCGTGGACCTGGACGTGGACGTGGTCGTGGACGTGGACGTGGACGTGGTCGTGGACGTGGACGTGGACGTGGACGTGGACATGGACGTGGACGTGGACGTGGACGTGGACGTGGACTTGACGTGGACGTGGACGTGGACATGGACGTGGACGTGGACGTGGACGTGGACGAGGACTTGGACGTGGACGTGGACACGGACGTGGACGTGGACGTTCACGGTGGACGTGGACGTGGACGTGGACACTTGGACGTGGACGAGGACGTGGACACGGACGTGGACGTGGACGTTGACGTGGTGGACGTGGACGTGGACGTGGACGTGGACATGGACGTGGACGTGGACGAGGACGTGGACGTGGACATGGATGTAGACGTGGACGTGGACGTTGACGTGGACGTGGACATGGTCGTGGACGTGGTCGTGGACGTGGACGTGGACATGGACGTGGACGTGGACGTGGACGTGGACGTGGACATGGTCGTGGACGTGGACGTGGACGTGGACCTGGACGTGGACGTGGTCGTGGACGTGGACGTGGTCGTGGACGTGGTCGTGGACGTGGTCGTGGACATGGACGTGGACGTGGACGTGGACATGGACGTGGACGTGGACGTGGACGTGGACGTCGACTTGAACGTGGACGTCGACGTGGACATGGACGTGGACGTGGACGTGGACGTGGACGAGGACTTGGACGTGGACGTGGACACGGACGTAGACGTGGACGTTGACGTGGTGGACGTGGACGTGGACGTGGACACTTGGACGTGGACGAGGACGTGGACACGGACGTAGACGTGGACGTTGACGTGGTGGACGTGGACGTGGACGTGGACGTGGACATGGACGTGGACGTGGACGAGGACGTGGACGTGGACATGGATGTAGACGTGGACGTGGACGTTGACGTGGACGTGGACATGGTCGTGGACGTGGTCGTGGACGTGGACGTGGACATGGTCGTGGACGTGGACGTGGACGTGGACGTGGACATGGTCGTGGACGTGGACGTGGACGTGGACCTGGACGTGGACGTGGTCGTGGACGTGGACGTGGACGTGGTCCGTGGACGTGGTCGTGGACGTGGTCGTGGACATGGACGTGGACGTGGACGTGGACATGGACATGGACGTGGACGTGGACGTGGACGTCGACTTGAACGTGGACGTGGACGTGGACATGGACCGTGGACGTGGACGTGGACGTGGACGAGGACTTGGACGTGGACGTGGACACGGACGTAGACGTGGACGTTGACGTGGTGGACGTGGACGTGGACGTGGACACTTGGACGTGGACGAGGACGTGGACACGGACGTAGACGTGGACGTTGACGTGGTGGACGTGGACGTGGACGTGGGACGTGGACATGGACGTGGACGTGGACGAGGACGTGGACGTGGACATGGATGTAGACGTGGACGTGGACGTTGACGTGGACGTGGACATGGTCGTGGACGTGGTCGTGGACCGTGGACGTGGACATGGTCTGGACGTGGACGTGGACGTGGACGTGGACATGGTCGTGGACGTGGACGTGGACGTGGACATGGTCGTGGACGTGAACGTGGACGTGGTCGTGGACGTGGACGTGGACGTGGACGTGGACATGCACATGGACGTGGACGTTGACGTGGACGTGGACGTGGACGTGGACGTGGACGTGGACGTGGACGTTGACGTGGACGTGGACGTGGACGTGGACGTGGACGTGGACGTGGACGTGGACGTGGACGTGGTCGTGGACGTGGACGTGGACGTGGACGTGGACGTGGACGTGGACGTGGACGTGGACGTGGACGTGGACGTGGACGTGGACGTGGACGTGGACGTGGACGTGGACGTGGACATGGACGTGGACGTGGACGTGGACGTGGACGTGGACGTGGACGTGGACGTGGTCGTGGACGTGGACGTGGACGTGGACGTGGACGAGGTCGTGGACGTGGACGTGGACGTGGTCGTGGACGTGGAACTTGGACGTGGTCGTGGACGTGGCCGTTGGACGTGGGTCGTGGACCTGGACGTGGACGTGGACGTGGACATGGTCGTGGACGTGGACGTGGACGTGGACGTGGACGTGGACATGGACGTGGACGTGGACGTGGACGTGGACGTGGACGTGGACGTGGACGTGGACTGGACGTGGACGTGGGACGTGGACGTGGACGTGGACAGGGACGTGGACAGGGACGTGGACGTGGACGTGGACGTGGACGTGGACGTAGACGTAGACGTGGACGTGGACGTGGACGTGGACGTGGACGTGGACGTGGACGTGGACATGGACGTGGACGTGGACATGGACGTGGACGTGGACGTGGACGTGGACGTGGACGTGGACGTGGACGTGGACGTGGACGTGGACGTGGACATGTACGTGGACGTGGACGTGGACGTGGGCGTGGACGTGGACGTGGACGTAGACGTGGACGTGGACGTGGACGTGGACGTGGACGTGGACATGGACATGGGCGTGGACGTGGACGTGGACGTGGACATGGTCGTGGACGTGGACGTCGACGTCGACGTGGACGTGGACGTGGACATGGACGTGGACATGGACGTGGACGTGGACGTGGACATGGACGTGGACATGGACGTGGACGTGGACGTGGACATGGACGTGGACATGGATGTGGACGTGGACGTGGACATGGACGTGGACATGGACGTGAACGTGGACATGGACGTGGACATGGACGTGGACGTGGACATGGACGTGGACATGGACGTGGACGTGGACATGGACATGGACGTGGACATGGACGTGGACGTGGACATGGACTTTGACATGGACGTGGACATGGACGTGGACATTGACATGGACGTGGACATGGACGTGGACGTGGACATGGACGTGGACATGGACGTGGACGTGGACGTAGATGGACGTGGACATGGACGTGGACGTGGACGTAGATGGACGTGGACGTGGACGTGGACATGGACGTTGGACGTGGACGTGGACGTGGACGTGGACGTGGACGTGGACGTGGACGTGGACGTGGACGTGGACGTGGACGTGGACTTGGACGTGGACGTGGACGTGGACGTGGACTTGGACGTGGACATGGACGTGGACGTGGACGTGGACGTGGACGTGGACATGGTCGTGAACGTGGACGTGGACATGGACATGGACAGGAACGTGGACGTGGACGTGGACATGGACGTGGACGTGGACGTAGACGGTCGTGGACGTGGACATGGACGTGGACATGGACGTGGACGTGGACGTGGACATGGACATGGACGTGGACGTGGACGTGGACGTGGACATGGACGTGGACGTGGACATGGACATGGACGTGGACGTGGACATGGACGTGGACATGGACGTGGACATGGACATGGACATGGACGTGGACATGGACGTGGACATGGACGTGGACGTGGACGTGGACGTGGACATGGACGTGGACATGGACGTGGACGTGGACATGGACATGGACGTGGGCATGGACATGGACGTGGACATCGTGGACATGGACGTGGACATGGACGTGGACGTGGACATGGACATGGACGTGGACATGGACGTGGACGTGGACGTGGACGTGGACATGGACGCGGACGTGGACGTGGACGTGGCCATGGACGTGGACATGGACGTGGACATGGACGTGGACGTGGACATGGACGTGGACATGGACGGGGACGTGGACGTAGATGGACGTGGACATGGACGTAGACGTGGACGTGGACGTGGACATGGACGTGGACATGGATGTGGAAGTTGACGTGGACTTGGACGTGGAAATGAACGTGGACGTGGACGTGCACGTGGACATGGACGTGGACATGGACGTGGACATGGACGTGGACATGGACGTGGACATGGACGTGGACATGGACATGGACGTGGACGTGGACGTGGACATGGACGTGGACGTGGACGTGGACGTGGACATGGGCGTGGACATGGACATGGACGTGGACGTGGACATGGACATGGGACATGGACATGGACGTGGACATGGACATGGACGTGGACATGGACATGGACGTGGACATGGACATGGACGTGGACGTGGACGTGGACATGGACGTGGACGTGGACATGGATGTGGACGTGGACATGGACGTGGACGTGGACGTGGACGCGAACATGGACGTGGACGTGGACGTGGACGTGGACGTGGTCGTGGACCTGGACGTGGACGTGGTCGTGGACGTGGACGTGGACGTGGTCGTGGACGTGGACGTGGACGTGGTCGTGGACGTGGTCGTGGACGTGGTCGTGGACATGGACGTGGACGTGGACGTGGACATGGACGTGGACGTGGACGTGGACGTGGACGTCGACTTGGACGTGGACGTGGACGTGGACATGGACGTGGACGTGGACGTGGACGTGGACGAGGACTTGGACGTGGACGTGGACACGGACGTAGACGTGGACGTTGACGTGGTGGACGTGGACGTGGACACTTGGACGTGGACGAGGACGTGGACACGGACGTAGACGTGGACGTTGACGTGGTGGACGTGGACGTGGACGTGGACGTGGACATGGACGTGGACGTGGACGAGGACGTGGACGTGGACATGGATGTAGACGTGGACGTGGACGTTGACGTGGACGTGGACATGGTCGTGGACGTGGTCGTGGACGTGGACGTGGACGTGGACATGGACATGGACGTGGACGTGGACGTGGACATGGTCGTGGACGTGGACGTGGACGTGGACGTGGTCGTGGACGTGAACGTGGACGTGGACGTGGACGTGGACGTGGACCTGCACCTGGACGTGGACGTGGACGTGGACGTGGACGTGGACGTGGACGTGGACGTGGACGTGGACGTGGACGTGGACGTGGACGTTGACGTGGACGTGGACGTGGACGTGGACGTGGACGTGGACGTGGACGTGGACGTGGACGTGGACGTGGACGTGGACGTGGACGTGGACGTGGACGTGGACGTGGACGTGGACGTGGACGTGGACGTGGACGTGGACGTGGACGTGGACGTGGACGTGGACGTGGACGTGGACGTGGACGTGACGTGGACGTGGACGTGGACGTGGACGTGGACGTGGACTGACGTGGACGTGGAACGTGGACGTGGACTGACGTGGACGTGGACGTGGACGTGGACGTGGACGTGGACGTGGACGTGGACGTGGACGTGGACGTGGACGTGGACGTGGACCGTGGACGTGGACGTGGTCGTGGACGTGGTACGTGGACGTGGACGTGGACGTGGTCGTGGACGTGGACGTGGACGTGGACGTGGACTTGGACGTGACTTGGACGTGGACTTGGACGTGGCGGGACGTGGACTTGGACGTGGTCGTGGACCTGGACGTGGACGTGGTCATGGACATGGTCGTGGACGTGGACGTGGACATGGTGGTGGACGTGGACGTGGACGTGGACGTGGACGTGGACGTGGACGTGGACGTGGACGTGGACGTGGACTTGGACGTGGACGTGGACTGGACGTGGACGTGGACGTGGACGTGGACGTGGACAGGGACGTGGACAGGGACGTGGACGTGGACGTGGACGTGGACGTGGACGTGGACGTGGACGTGGACGTGGACGTGGACATGGACGTGGACGTGGACGTGGACATGGACGTGGACGTGGACGTGGACGTGGACGTGGACGTGGACGTGGACGTGGACGTGTACGTGGACGTGGACGTGGACGTGGATGTGGACGTGGACGTGGACGTGGACATGGACATGGACAGGAACGTGGACGTGGACGTGGACATGGACATGGACAGGAACGTGGGCATGGACGTGGACGTGGACATGGACGTGGACGTGGACGTGGACGTGGACGTGGACGTGGACGTGGACATGGACGTGGACATGGACGTGGACGTGGACATGGACATGGACGTGGGCATGGACATGGACGTGGACATGGACGTGGACATGGACGTGGACATGGACGTGGACATGGACGTGGACGTGGACATGGACATGGACGTGGACATGGACGTGGACGTGGACGTGGACGTGGACATGGACGCGGACGTGGACGTGGACGTGGCCATGGACGTGGACATGGACGTGGACATGGACCGTGGACGTGGACATGGACGTGGACATGGACGGGGACGTGGACGTAGATGGACGTGGACATGGACGTAGACGTGGACGTGGACGTGGACATGGACGTGGACATGGATGTGGACGTTGACGTGGACATGGACGTGGAAATGAACGTGGACGTGGACGTGGACGTGGACGTGGACATGGACGTGGACATGGACGTGGACATGGACGTGGACATGGACGTGGACATGGACATGGACGTGGACGTGGACGTGGATATGGACGTGGACGTGGACGTGGACATGGACGTGGACGTGGACATGGACGTGGACGTGGACGTGGACATGGACGTGGACGTGGACGTGGACGTGGACGTGGACATGGACGTGGACGTGGACGTGGACGTGGACGTGGACGTGGACGTGGACATGGACGTGGACGTGGACGTGGACGTGGACATGGACGTGGACGTGGACGTGGACGTGGACGTGGACGTGGACGTGGACGTGGACATGGACGTGGACGGGGACGTGGACGTGGACGTGGACGTGGACGTGGACGTGGACGTGGACGTGGACGTGGACATGGACGTGGACGTGGACGTGGAGGACTTGGACGTGGATATGGACGTGGACGTGGACGTGGACGTGGACGTGGACATGGACGTGGACGTGGACATGGACGTGGACGTGGACGTGGAGGACGTGGACGTGGACGTGGACGTGGACGTGGACGTGGACGTGGACGTGGACGTGGACGTGGACATGGACGTGGACATGGACGTGGACGTGGACATGGACGTGGACGTGGACGTGGACGTGGACATGGACGTGGACATGGACGTGGACGTGGACGTGGACGTGGACGTGGACGTGGACGTGGACGTGGACATGGACGTGGACGTGGACGTGGACATGGACGTGGTCGTGGACGTGGACGTGGTCGTGGACGTGGACGTGGACATGGACGTGGACGTGGACGTGGACGTGGACGTGGACGTGGACGTGGACGTGGACATGGACGTGGACGTGGACGTGGATGTGCACAGGGACGTGGACGTGGACGCGGACGTGGACGTGGACATGGACGTGGACGCGGACGTGGACGTGGACGTGGACGTGGACGTGGACGTAGACGTGGACGTGGACATGGACGTGGACGTGGACATGGACATGGACATGGACGTGGACAAGGACGTGGATGTGGACATGGACGTGGACGTGGACGTGGACGTGGACGTGGACATGGACGTGGACGTGGACGTGGAGGACTTGGACGAGGACGTGGACGCTGACGTGGACGTGGACGTGGACATGGACGTGGATGTGGACGTGGACGTGGACGTGGACGTTGACTTGGATGTGGTCGTGGACGTGGACGTGGACGTGGACTTGGACGTGGACTTGGACGTGGACGTGGACGTGGTCGTGGTCGTAGACGTGGACGTTGACGTGGTGGACGTGGACGTGGACGTTGACGTGGACGTGGTCGTGGACGTGGACATTGACGTGGTGGACGTGGACGTGGACGTGGACTTGGACGTGGACTTGGACGTGGACGTGGACGTGGACATGGACGTAGACGTGGACGTTGACGTGGTGGACGTGGACGTGGTCGTGGACGTTGACGTGGTCGTGGACGTGGACGTAGACGTGGTGGACGTGGACGTGGTCGTGGACGTGGACGTGGACGTGGTGGTGGACGTGGACGTGGACGTGGACGTGGACGCGGTCGTGGACGTGGACGTGGTCGTGGACGTGGACGTGGACGCGGTCGTGGACGTGGACGCAGTCGTGGACGTGGACGCGGTCGTGGACGTGGATGTGGACGTAGACATGGACGTTGATGTGGACGTGGACGCGGACGTAGACGTGGACGTGGACCTGGACGTGGTGGACGTGAACGTGGACGTGGACCTGGACTTGGACGTGGACATGGACGTTTAGCTCTTACGGCTCGCAGCAGCAGCAGCAGCCGTTCAGCCCTTACGGCCTGCAGCAGCAGCCTTTTTGGCAGTACGGACAGGGGGGGTCCTCTTTCGGCCCCTACCAGGGCTCCTTCTTCCAGGGTCCCTCGTACCTTCCCTTTTCTGGTGCACCTGCGCAGCAGCAGTTCTACCAGCAGCCTTTTTTGGGGCCTTCCTTCCAGCAGCAGCAGTTCCTTCCGGACTCTGTCTCTATGAGCGCTGTAAACTCTGGTGGTACCGTCTCTGCCTGGATGGCGTCCCTAATCTCCGCCACCCTGGAAAGTAGAGCAGGGTCCGTGGCAGCCCCAGCCCCTGCACCTGCTGCACCTGTGGCTGCTGCCCCGCCTCCAGAAGTGTCTGGGAAAAGACCACCAAAGACCTGCCGAAACAGCCTCGAGGTAAGAGTGTCTGTCTACTTTCCCCCGGCAGTAGCCTCACCCGCCGCACCAATGGCTGTCGGCTGCTGCTGCTGCTGCGGCTGCTACTGCTGAGATTGCTGCTGACCCTGCCGCTGCTGACCCTGCTGCTGCTAGGCCTGCTGCTGCCCCTGCTGCTGCTGCTGGCCCTGCTGCTGTGGCTCCTGCTACGACGACGGTAGCCCAAGCCGTGGTCGCTGCTGCCGCTGCTGTGCCAAGGTCTCAGCCTCCTGTCTCAGCTGCTCGCGAATGGAAGCTGCCTCCTGTGCCAACTGCTCCCTGTCACGAGAGATCATCCTAACCCAACTATCTATCACGGACCGGTCTCGCAGGATATCCCCCTCGATATTCCTGAGACGAAGCTGCTGCTGTATGCTGCGCTGCCACTCGGCCTGCTGCTCCAGCGCCAACTCTGTCTGTCTGTCCTCCTCGTCTCGCTCGGTCCGTCTACGAGTACGCCGAAACTGCTCAGTAATATCAGCGACAGTAGCTGGTGCACTAGTCTCCATAGCTGCAGCCGCTGATCCCCCCTGGTCTCCTGCACCGCCGACACCGGCTCCTCCCCCAGTGCCTGGCGCTGCAGAAACTCCGAGCCCACCCATGGTGACGTCTAAAAGACTAACGAAACGGAAAAAACTAGGAGTCTGTATCGTCTACGCCACTCTCCAACACCGGCGTCAGTGCAATAGGTTTAGGGTTTGATAGGAATGCTCAAAGAACTGAGCTGCAGTGCTGCTCCAGACAGTCTAGAGTCGCTAACGAAGAAAGTGGCTGTGACGGCCTATCGGTAGGACGAGAGACTAACGGCCTAGACTGGGAGAAGTCGAGGGGCACGAGTCTCTGAAAGTCTAGCCGATGGCACTACTCTAAGGGTAGGCTAGGGCCGCCAGGGGGCAACACGAGGCTCCCCAAGCGACAGGAAAAAACGACGACGAAAATGGCCTAGCGGAATGCAAGAAAACTGCAAAAACCCTCTAGCTAGGCAAGCAAACTGCTGAAAAAACACAAGTCCTAAGCCTAGGGGTGTAGGGACATGCAATAGAGTAAGTACCTCAAGTGTAGGTAGAAGCAGTCTCGTATCGATTTCGCCACGAAGGCATCATCAGCAAGACAAGGATCTACCCTAGCAAGAGCTCCCTACTTATAGCTGTCCCAACCCAATGTCCTAAAGTGCAATGTGGGCCTAACCTGCCACCTAGGCAAAGAACTGCCCTTGCAGGCTGCCAACTGTGTAGCCTACCAAGGGCCTACACCCAGCTGCCCATATCTCCCAATCCGGGCGCCAGATGGCGAATCCGACGGTTCCGGCAGCCTCCAGTCCGTACGGAGCTTATGGTCCGACATATAATGTACAGGGTAACCGTCGGGTCCGGGTGGCAAAAACCGGAACATGCGAACAGTCATGTTCGGGTGCCAGCCCGGCGCTCTCCAGATTCGCGCGAAACCAGAGAGCGTACCACTAAAACGCGCGTAACTCAGCGCTCGGTGCTCCATTCGGGGCGTGTGAAGGCTCGTCGCAGAGCCCTTCATCAGCCCTACACAGTGAGATGGAGACCTGCATGTACCTAACAAGCTAACCCCCGAAACTAGAAAGAGGCATAGTCACCCACTCGCGTGCTGTGCCCCCTGGTACTCATAAAGGTCGGGGGCGTGCCAAGTACATGTGCCATGTGTCATGGTACCCCAAATCCCATGGATCCCCACTAGGTGCAAGAGGAGAAAGGCACCCCTGTGCTCATATGGCCAGAGGTGGGGAAGGTACAATGCACATGCTACCAAAACCCAAGTCCCGTGCAAAGAGGAGAAAGGCATCCCAGTACTCATAACGGTCTGGGATGGGGAATGGTACAAGTGTGCAAGTGCGTAACCCACAAATACAATCCACAACGAACGCAGAGTGTAGTCGCAGGTACACTCACACTGCCCCAGGGCCTGACCTGTGTGGCTGAAATCAAAGAAGTCAGGCGGGAGGTTGTCGTGCATCCCTGGGTCCAGCCTCTGTGAGAAAACAAAGAGACTGGACCGGGGATGGTGCTGCTGCGACGGCCCAACCAAATGCAGCACGCCGCTGCGAAGTGCAGAAAGGTGCTCGCTCCAAGGCCCCACCCGTGTGCACGTGCCGTGAAACAAGGAGGAAGGGCGGGGAGGCGGCAGACGACTAACCGAGACGGCACGACACCCACAGAAGACAAGTGACGTGCTGTGAGAGAGGGGCACCCCAGTCACCTGAACGACGCTCGCACGAGTAGCTGTCGGAGCGACGGAGGTGCCCTGTAGGACACGAAAGGTGCCCTGTAGTGAGAAAGCTGCTCAAACGCTGGTGCCTCTGGAGGGAAGGCCAGCAACCTACCCCAGCGGACCTGCTGCACACTCGGGTGGAAGTCGAGAACAAGAGGGAGAACCCGCTGCTGCTCCTCCTGCTCCCCCTCCCCCCGAGCCCGTGACCTGGCAAGAAGCTCCGGGCGTCGTGCGTAGGAGATGCTGCTGAAGATCGGCTGCAAGAAAGTGTCTGGGTACCCCCGCGCCCGCAGCCGAGCGTAGAAGGCCAACCTGATACTCCTAAACCCCTGAGAACTGGACTCCCTCAGAATGTACCGCTGCAGCTCACCCAAGATGAAGCCCCTCTTGCAGTGAGAGGGGTGCGCGGAGGAGAAAGGAAAGTACTGGTACACGTTGAGCGGCTTCTGGAAGGTCGTGGTGTCCAAGATAGCCGTCGTCTGCCAGAGCTCTCCCTTGCTGAACGTGATATCCAGCAAGGTGAACTGTGAGGTGGAGATCTCGTGGGTCAGTCGAATAGTCTGCTCCAACCCACCAAACGCCCCCACCCACTCCAGCAGCCGCTCCCGTGTCCCCGTCCAAACCACCACCCCGTCGTCTATGAACCTGCGGTGGAGAAGGACGTGATGCGACAACTCGGGCTCTGTCTCTAGCAACCTCTCGTCTAACCAAGCCATGAACAGAACCGCGTAGATCACTGCTACAGGCGTGCCCATAGCACTAAAACGCGCGTAACTCAGCGCTCGGTGCTCCGTTCGGGGCGTGTGAAGGCTCGTCGGAGAGCCCTTCATCAGCCCTACACAGTGAGATGGAGACCTGCAAGTACCTAATAAGCTAACCCTAAACCCTAAACCCTAGCAGGAACACCGGTCGCGGGTAAGGCAGCAACGGCACCAGAAACAACAGCATCGGCTCCCCGTGCCACTCAGGCATTAGCCGCACCAGCAACAGTGGGTACAACAGGCACATCAGCAACAGTCAATGCAGCAGTGACACCTACAGCAACTCACACAGCAGTGACGCCAGCAGCAAGGGTGACAGCAGCAACAGCCGGAGCAACGGGCAACACAGCAGGGATAACAACAGCGGGTGACGCAGAAATGACACTGGTGGTGGCAGATGCAGCACTGGTACTCCCTTCATACACCAACCCAACCTTCACCCCAATTCCAGGGATAACGGGCCTGGATTCACCGGCTCCTACTCCTACTCCCACCGCCCCACAACCAAGTCTGAACCCACCGGCAGCACAAACCAGCCCAATGCCAGGCATGCTACACGTGGGTAGCACCAGCAGCCTCTTCATACAGGGTGCTGGGCCCAGCGGCATGAGGGGAGCGGGGACAGGGGCGTACACGGCAGCGGAGGAGCAATGTGAACAGCAGCCCACCGCAGCAACGACACTAGCTGCCAGGGAGGAAGAGGACGGGAGAGGGCCGGCCAGGACAGATGCAGATGCAGCCGCTACAGCTATCCCAGCAGCAGGAAGCACCGGCAGGGAGCAGGTGGAACTGAATGAGGGAGCAGGAACCAGCGCAGCCGAGGCAATGCAGAGGGCAAGACAGCCTGCGGAAGAAGCTGATGACACGAGACGAGCAACGGCAGGGATCTCTGTGCTAGCAACAATGAGGCTGGGAGAACCCTTGGTTGTCACAAGCAACCGCCTAAGCGATCTCCCACGAGCTTGCGAGGGCACTGGTGAGCTACCCCCTAACGGAACAGCACCCATCATGCCACCCACTACCGCGCTGCAGCAAGGACAGAGCCACCCGGGCAGCCCCACACCACCTTTGCCGGTACAGGATAATGCAGCAGAAGCCGCACCGCAAGCACAGCAGTAGCCGAACGATAGCAGCAGCAGTGAAGGGACCAAGGATGAAGGACCTAACAGGGACGGGACCCATATCCTCTACTGCCCTGTGGAGTTTGACCCATGTGGAGGAGAGGACGAAGCAGAGCATCCCGAGCAGCCTATAAGCCCAAAGAGCCAGGAAGACGCAGCCCCAGAGAGTGTGAAGCTGACAAAGAGAGAGATTGGCAAGACAACAGCAGCTCTTATGCGGGGTGAGCAGTTCGGCATGAAGGGTTTGGAAGCGGCATATGGGCTACAGGAAGCGGAAGATCTCCCTGCTGTTTGGCACCGTTTCTTCGAAGACATGCAGTCAATGCTACTCAACAAAGCACCACCAGAGCCCCCCGCTTCCTCGCCCTTCAAGACCATACCCGAGCTTTTACGCAAGGCGCTCGAGAAGGAGCTGGCCTCTTTCAAGAGCTGCCTTCGCACCTTCAGCAAGGTATCGAACGGCCTATGTGAGCTTCAGCAGCAGTTCAGGGATGGGGAGGTTTCCCACGCTCTCCGGATTACAACCCCAACGCTACAGCTAACTGACCCTACCCTGCAAGAGAAGCTGAACCAGGCCCTAGACAATAAGCTGAAAACCTTCAAAACAAAAGCTCAACTGACTCTGATAGGGTACAAAGAAAAGGAGAAGGCTCACTGGGAGGGGGCAGCAGAGGTATGGACGGCACGGACATACTCTCGCTTCGAGAGCTTCCTGGAGAAAGACCTCCACCTTTTCGAGACACATGCAGCACCTGATACCCCTACACCCGATGCTCACCTCAAGGAGCTGGCTGTCGACTACATGGCACGGGGCATGGCACGAGAGCTGATGTACCATGCTGTGTGGATCAAGGGCAGCCGCAACTCAAAGGCAAGGGGGGCAGCTAAACGGGAGAAGGCACGGGCTGAACAGGCACTGAGGGAGGAGATTCAAGCTAACCCTTCTACTGACCTAATTGGGCTGGTGAAAACTCTGGTTGGCCCCCTACAGCAACGGGTAGAGGCTCTGGAGCGGCGGCAGCCTAGGAGCGGGACTGCGGTAGAGCACGGGAAGGCAGCGGGAAAGAGCAGGGCTCAACGTCGTAAAGAAGCGAAGAGAAACAAGGCACGAAACGGAACCACCTCACAGCAACCCACAGCAGCAACAGCCCCTCAGGCAGGGAGGACCGCGGGGGGGACAGTGGCTATTCCAGCAGCAGCAACATCAGCAGAGGGACTGGGGGGAGGCGAGATACAAGCCGGGGGGGTGACTGAAATAGCAGCAATAGTTACACCGGCAACAGTTGCTGCGACGACAGCAGGACCAGCAGCCATTGCAACGGAAATGCAAGGAGCAGCAGGACCAACGGCAGCAATAGCTTCAACCAGTGCCACTACACAGCCAGCGCCAGCACCAGTAGCAACAACACCAAGGGCAGCAGACACAGCTACGCCATCGGGAGCAGCCGGAGTAGCAGCACAACCGGCACCAGCGACGATCTCTGCTGCAACACTTCCGAGGCATGCGGAGGGCAGACAGCGGGGAAGAAGCCTGCAGGCGGCAGTGAGGACCTCGCAGCCATCCGCGGCAGCCATTGCGACTGCTGCGGCGGTGAAGGTAGCTATGCGTGGGTTGAAGGTAAACCGGTCTAGGCAACGCCGCACTGACACAGCTCACACAGCTTTACAGGCACTTTGGCAGCGGCACTATGCTCTCCGCATGGCACCCCAACACCCCCCACAGTACGAAAGGCCAGCAATGCACGCGAACGGGAGTGCACCACAGAGAGCACCAGGGCGGGCACAGCAGAGGGAACACACGGAAGAGAGGGGCCAGTTGAGAAGCACGCAGAGAGAACAGCCTCAGAGCACACAGTTAGGTCGAGGACAGCCAGTGCAGACCGGGCAGCAGCCCGATCCAGGACCCTCACTTGACCGCACTGCTCAGGAGACACGAGACCCAGCTGATGGCACTCAAATGGCACCAATGCAGACTGCACAGCAACCCAACACCCCTGCCCAGCCCGCCCCCCAAGCACCCACGCAACCAGCAGCACCCGCATACACCTTCATGGCAAACCCCGCATTCCCCAACATGTACCAGCCCTACCCCTTCGCACCCATGCATCCCAGCCTGAACTATGGCAGCCTTCTCTCGCCTCATGCACATCCCTTCTTCTTCCCCCAACAGGCTGTCCCCTTACAACAGACCTCGGCACTGGCCCAGCCGGCTCTCTCAAACATGTCGGTCATGTCAGCAACACCTGCGCCACCAGCATACCCCTTTGCAACCACAGGTCCCCCCTCCCAGCAGGTTGCACAAGGACCACAAGCCCAGGTGGCGTTTGGGCCCCCTAGAGGTACGGGGGCAACACTTAACGCCAACTATGGCCCCGCTGCCGTCCCCATCCCCATGCGTTTTTTATGGTGAAAGTCCCTCCCCTTCCCACCCAGAATAGCGCAGGTGGTTCTGCGAGCCCAAGAACAGTCACGGACCACAACGCTAACCTGAGGTATGTACACCAGCCCCCACTCAACACGTCCCCTCTCCCAAGCCCAGTAAACACACCGCTCAGTAGTGGACAACAACAAACCAACGTCGATACCAGACCTCGAGACACACCAGGCCAGCCCTCTTACTCTCTGCCCAGCTCATCTAACACCCCACCGTCAAAGGACACGTCTCACAAGAACGAAGTAAAAACCCCTCCTCCCCTACACCACTCAGCTGCACCAAATGACACCAACCAGCAGGTAAGCCTTCACAGAGCCGGGAAGCAGCCCCGTTCAAGGCCCAGGAAAAACAACTTTCGCAGCCCTTTGACCCCTACCCAGAAACGCCTCCTGTGAACATCCCAAACCGTTGTCCAAGACGAGCTCAACTCCAAGTTCATACACAACAAATCCTCACTCACCTTATCGCCCACAGAACTTGAGGGCCTAAGCTTAGGACTCTCTTTCATCCCAACACCCTCATCCGCCACTGAAAAAACAGTAAGGAGTGCCCTCGCACGTTTCGTGAGAAGTGTGAGGCTGATCTCACACTTCTCTTCCGACAAACCAGCCCCACGCTTCCGTATCCCAAAACCATCGTATCAGCCCAACCCTGCACTGCCCCCTGTTGAATGCTATATAGCTGAGGTGGAAGAGAAGATCTCTAAGCATCTTCCACTTATGACGCGCCCAGCTCGCAGGAACATGAGCGTGCATGCGTTACGCTGCTTGAAAAGGCTGGGCAAGAACCCAAAGGTCGTGGTGAAGCCAGCGGACAAAAATCTTGGACTGGCCCTACTAGACACCTCATGGTATCGAACGGAAGCACTCAGACAGCTATCAGACACTAACACATACACCCCAGTGGAAGCGGTACCTATGACTGACTTGTACAAACGTCTAAACACCTGGTGCTCGAGGTACGAGAGAAGTTTCCCTCCGGAAACCATCGAGTACATCCTGCAACCAAGGGTTGAAGAGCGCGCAGGCGCAGAACACGGGCAGTTTCGTGTATGCAGGTTCTACCTACTGCCGAAACTGCACAAAACGCCCGTCAAAGGAAGACCGATATGCTCATCTACGCCCTGGATTTTCGAGCACGCCAGCCAGGTACTAGATCACTATCTACGCCCGCTTCTGACCTTGGCACCAGCCCACCTACCAGACTCGATCACCCTGTTGCACACACTCCGCACCCTATCGATACCTGAACACGCCATCTTTCTGACGTACGATGTGGAAAGCCTGTATCCGTCGATTCCGCTACAGCAAGGCCTCACTGCCATTCGAGAAACGAAAGACAAATTTGTACGCAAGCATGGCTACCCGGTGTACTCTGAGAAGGGCCCCGCTAAGCAGCTCAGCGCCTGTTGCGAGCTGCTGGAGCTAGTCATGACGGAAAACCACCTTCAGTTTGACGATAGGTTCTATCGACAGATCCGCGGTACTGCCATGGGGACCCCAGTAGCAGTGATC